ATCATCTCAGGAATTATAATATAAAAATCTCGTGAAAACAAGTGTATTATTAGGTCTATTATATGCTATGAAAATCATTGATATTTCTTGACTCGTTGTGGTAGCAGCCATACAACTTCAATAGTAGTCGACCATGTCTTAGAAAATATTGAAAACATAGTACTGATATTTCGCATAAATTAATATGGTAATACGACAACTTAAAGTAATAATCTGTCCCAAAATATTTATTCCCACATAGGATAACAAATTCGTACGGGTATCACTGAGCTGACACGGTCAACTCTATTTTTTCTCATTTTTATTTGTAGTTGGTGAATAATCATGAATGATTTTTAGTTTTGAAGATATAAATATTTTTTGTATACAATTTTACAATATTGGGAATTGAGATGTTTTAATTAGAAATTGATATTGCTTACGTTTTCCAAATGTGCAATGTATAAAAATATATCGTGTGAATTTAATAATTTTAATTCTGAAATTTTAATTTAATTCGAAAAAATGTAGATTGCTATATGATATTATGTGTAATAATTTTATAGGCATAAAATAATTTGCTTCCAAATAACTTATTTCGCGTTTTTTTATTAATTTTTTTAAAAAGATGTAAAAAGAAGAATAAAGTTTGTATGGGTATTCTAAATTTGTTTTACTATTTATAACTTTGCAATCAAATATTGCTTTGATTACTTTATAGTACCTAATACTTATGCAGATTACATAAAATCTGTGGCTCCAAGTCCATGAAAAAATTTGGAAATTACTTAAAAGATAACGTGGAGTTCAACTACTTTAGCATCTTACAAAACATTTTAACTATTACATTCTATAGTAAGAAAATTGTTAAAAATTTAATAACCAAAATTATATACACATACATCTACATACCTCTTTTTTCCGACCCAAATGAAATTATAATCCAAGAGCAAGATTTTAACCAGCTTTTCACATTAGATTCTATTTTATATTTAGTAAGATTTATTAGCGGATAAATAGTAGATTTACCGTACACTCATCTTTTTTTAATTACAGAAGATCTCGGAAAAAGTATAGAAGGTTACAAAGAGGATTTTTTGTTTGATTTAAACATGCGAACATTTTTCATTATACTACACTAACATATTGTTTATAAAAAGAAATTTTATGCTAATTTATAAGTTAGCTAACTAAGCTTGCTTGCTCATACGAATAATATGTGACTCATTATTTTGCAAAAGAATTTTTAAAAGAACGAAATATATAATAAAAAAATTTGTCTTTAATTAGTCATTTTAACAATATATCATAAAACCTAGGATATATGCAATTAATAGAAAACGAAAATATTTGTCCAAAAAATATGAGTATTGTGAGAAAATAAAATTGAATCAAATAAAAGGGTTGGAAAGTAGCAGATTTCGTTTAAAAAAAAATAGTTTTTTTTTAACAATATTGTATATAAATTCTTCTTTACATTGTTTCTATATTACGAGTATATTTATAATAAATTGTTATATTATTGCATACTTTTTGGAAAGGAAATTGAAAGAATTAATAAAGGTTTTTAGATCGAACAGTAGTTTATTTGTTTTTCTGTCTAACGTTAAGAAAAATCCTCAAGACTACAAGTTCTATAGAGTTTGTTCTATAGCGAAATGTCTATATAATTACAGATAATGCTTGGTAATAAAAAAAACGTTTCAAGAAAACCATTAATATTAACATTTCTCCATAATGACGTCTGCGTATAATTACTTCACAGTACCAAGAAATAAGTCGCTGCCGTTCTGCGTTTGAAATTTCAAAAGTGTGTGGTTTCGAAATAATAGCATGCCAAATAATGATATTTTTATAATCTTGTGAGATCTTCTTCACTTAAGTTTTGTAGATAGATCCATAGATGGACTGAAAAACTGAAACTAATCAGCACATCTTTTGCCAAATTGTTGAAAACGTGTTCGGGATTAATTTTTTTACAAACATTTTATTACTTTCAAAAATAAGTTTTGAAAATTTTAAAGAATTTTATATAATTTTTGTCTTCAACTTTATAAAAATAATTATCAAACCAATTCTAAACTCATAAATACATACATAATATATATATGTATAACTTAATAAATAAAATTAAATTTAATAAAATGGAAAACAACAGCGACTGACAAGATTGTTATCGAATTGAAATCTTTTATATAATAAATATTATGTATGTATGTATGTATTACAATATATTTGAACTTCGAAAAATAGTAGTTATTTATATCTCTACTAGATTTTTAAGTATTTAATATTGCAACTCTAAATTCCATATTAACACGTTATTATTATTAATATTATTAATATTATTCTTAAAATTATTAATATTGTTAAGATAAATTTAAACCTTACATACGTAATTTTTTAAATTTTTAAATAAGTATAAATGCTGATTATCTTTTACACTTGTTAAATCAAATTAAGTACTTAAAGACTATTATAATTTTTTTTTCTTTTTATGAAGATCAAAGAAGAGAACGTTTTCTTAATGATTTTATATTATAATATATAAATATGTATAAGCATATATACGAGTATACTGATACAGAAAACCTTCTAACTAATAATCATATAAAATTTCATAATGTCAACATAAAACATAATCTTTTTTATAATCGTAAAATAATAGCGCGTACAACTACATAATGCGATAAATATAATTAATCTATATATATATATATGTATATATGTACATTATAAAGATTATTCAATTTATTATTATGTATATTTTAATGTGTAAATGCGTATGTAAAAACTACAATAATGTGTATATAAAACTATATTTTAAGAGAACATTGATTATATTCGTTAAATAGATGCTCATACACTCGCTATTTATGTGTTCCCCAATAAATTTAAAGATTCTGAAAAAATTGTAATGTGGGCATGTATCTATCTACTATTTTCGTTATGTCTGTACAAATAAATGTGTATATTTTATCAAATACAATATAATTCATAAAACAATATAGCAACAATAAAAATATAAAGGAATATATGATATTTTGTATACGTACATGCATATACATACGTATGTCTGGATATACTTATGTAAATATGTATGTATAAAATGAATATTGTTTTTACTTTTGCTCTTCTTGGAATAAAATGTGCAGCCACTTAATAAATCTAACGAACACATAAATACATACATATGTATGCATGTATGTATGTATGTACAGTTTTTGATATTTTTTTGCCATTTTCATAATTGTACTGATCATTGTTGTATGTATTTTTTATGTTTTTTTTTTCATATTTCTGTTATAAGATTATTATTTTTTTTATTCTACCCTGTATAATATTGTCTATTTCAAAAAAATTAAAAATAATAATAAAATAATAATAGAATTAAATTTAACACATAAAAATTCAATTGAGAAAGATTCTGGAGGAGCAGACCCTATATTTCAGTCAGTCCACACAAAAACGAAAAAAAAAAAAAAAACAAAAAAGACAGAGAAAAAAAAAATACTTTAGTATAATTTCTTAATATTCCTTTTTTTCCATTTTTCTTCTTTTTTTGTCATTTCATTTTCAATTTTTGTATTAAATTGATATTAGAGTTTGACGGTGGCGGCGGAAAAGCCAAAAAAAAAAACAAAAATTGAACAAAACGAAAAAAATAAGTTCAGTTACGACAAATAAATTTTGATCAGTAAATTGTGGTCAGTCGTTTAGCAAACAACAAAGTTCGATCATACGATGATAAAATTTACAAAAAAAAAGAAAAAAAAATATGGAGAAAAAAACTAATTAACCGGGACTTTATTATTTAAAAATAAAAAAAAAAAACACAAAAAAAAATAATTATTTAATTTTATTAAATAATTTTATTTTACTTATAAGATTTTTTTTAGTTATTTCACTTATATTTATTTTTTTTTTGTTTTTAAAAAACAAATTGGATTTAATTATTAAATTTTAATTAATTTTGCTGATTGATAAATTTTAACATTTTGTATAATACTTTTATAACATTTATTATTTTAAATAATTAAAAAAAAATTTTCAATAAATTACAATTTCCGTGATAACAGCCAAGTATAAAATTCCAAATATATTAAATGATTATAATATTTTTATATAAGATGACTACAACATACATACATGCATATATGAAATATAAAATTATAATATGATAATAAAAACGCTCAAAAAACTTATAATAATATATACATATATAGACACTGTAGTAAAATTTTGAATAACACGTTTTAATTAAATAAAGTCAAATAAAAATAGTTAATATTTTTTTATATATAATTAAATATATACGAATGTATATAAGCAATATTATTTTTATTTAATTTAAATAAATACATTAATATAAAATTTATTTACTTTACAAATACATAATATTTCATTTACATATACTCGCACGTATATAGCTAATTGTATTTTAAAAGAACAATGTTAAGACCTTTTCAACAATAATGAAGAACAAAAAAATATGTATATAAATATGTATATAAATTTTATTTTTTGCTACTGATGATAACAAATTATCAGAGAATTTTTTTCTTAATATTTTTATTTCTTATAATTTTTATAAGAAAAATATTAAGAGATTATTTTATTCAAACTTGTAAAATCTGTACTTTTGATTTTTTTTTAAATAACAATATATGTATGTATATGAATAATAATAATGATTATTCGTAATTTTATTTTTAATATTTATAAAGATTAAAAATTTTTATTATAATTTACATACATTTGTATGTATGTAATTTATACAATGCAAATGTATAATTATCAGAAACAAATTAAATTTAATGAGGAAAAAGTTAGTAAATATTTAAGTATCTACTAAAATTTTACATATACAATTACATAGGCAAAAACTAATTATGTATATCAGTAATAATTTATAATAAGATTATGTTGACAATGCCTGCAAAATATTTACATTGCATTGGTATTTCATTTAAGAAAATATAATAAGGAATAATTGCAAAAAAAAATTTTTATAGGAAACATTTTGATTAAGAACAATACATACAAACTGTATAATTAAATGTATAATATTAAAATATAAAAAAATATTTATGACACAAAATGCATTATATTTTTATGGTGTTTGGAACTTCAAACTTCAAAAACTAAATTAGGTAAGAATTTCATTAAATTTTTTAAATTAAATAATAAATTATTGATTTTGATATAAAATAATAAATTATAAAATTATAATCTTTTTATATGTAAAATTATTTGTATAATTTTATATGTATTTCCAAGTAATTTAAGGGTTTTCCTAAATACATATGTATTTTAAAAGGTTTATCTAATAATTGAATTAAAAATTATTAGTAGTTAAAAATAGCTTTCAATAATAATATTATTTTTTAAAAAATATTTCCCTTTTCAATAAAATTAAATATTAGTATGAAATTAGTTGACAGAGTTGCCATAAAAGAATAAAAAATTAACTGTATAGATATTTTAAAGAAAACTTTTTTCCAAAAAGAATTTAAGGTTCTTTCACGAGACTATATTCTGAATTTTAAATTAGTTATCGTAATAAAAAGCAAATTTCTCGTTAATTTCTTTTCTTTCACAAAAATTAATTTTTTAATTTTTTCAAAACTTCTATCAGTTTTAACATATATACTTTATATTATATATTCAACTTGCATTAAAGTGAAGAAAAATTTTTCTTCAGAGTGTTGTTTTTGTAATCCTGATATTTAAAAACGAATAGAATGAATTGTCAGAAATTCAAATTTAATTGAATTATTTTTTAATTTTTGTTTCGTGATGGGTCAATTAATTTTTTTATAAATTTAAAAAAAAGGCCATTTATGTATTAGGCTACCCTGAATTTCTACTGATTATCCAGAATTCAGTGGATATCCTGTTACCCGGTCGGACCAACATTGGAGGTATAAAAATGATATAGAAATGTTAAATATCTTTTAGCTCAACCTAAAACTCAATAGAATATTTTGAAAAATCGAAAACCTTATGCAACACATAGGCTTGAAAATTATTAAAAAAAAAAAATAGTAAAAGTTTAAGAAAATTTAAAAGAATATTCAGTCAATAACGTTTATTGTCAATTAAGGAAGAGTAACGTATTTTTATCAAATATAAAGAATAGAAGTACACAGTTATTTTTTTTATTTAAAAGAAATATTTTTTTGGAAAAAACTGACCAAAAATTAAAAATGGTTTGGCGAGTTGGTGTTTCAATAGATATAATGTTATGTGCTCAACTTTTAAAATAAATTACCAAACACAAATTAATTTAATGAAATTCTTAAATGAAAAAATCCATAGTGTCGCCTTTATTACGTAAACGTTTATTATAATTATTGCTTTTTGCATACAACTATATAATTTAATATTAAATAGCTTTCCGAGGGCCACTATAATAGTATTTACTAAAATTTTATTTTTTTTTTGTAAAATATTTATAAACTTATCTGGAACTAATTTAGAATACAAATACATACATTCTATGCGAATTATATAAAAGTGAACAGTTAATTTTATTTTATTGGAGCAACATTAAAAAATATTTTGTAACTTGTAAGAACACAATAAATAAAGTAATTCACACAAAATTTATTGTAAAACAATAAATTTTATTACGGTAAGAAGAATGTTGATTTTACTCTAAAAGTAGACTATAAAATAAATAATGTATGTATAGATTGCGAAAAATCACTCGACATTAGGTGGGAGTTTATTTTACATATTATGCGATTTTTTTTATTCATGAAGTAGTATTAGGTCTTCTTTCCAAATCAATTTTCGTTGAAAAACATTGCATGTTCTTAAAGTTTTTATTTTCATTAGATTTTTTTGTTTCCATTTCGTCAATTATCATTGAACCGCTTTTACACAATTCTGATACAATTCTTTTATAAATTTTCTGATAGTTAATATTACTTGAAGCATCTTTTCAAATTTTCAACCCTATCACTTTGATTTTATGTACATGTTATTCCTGCGATTTTTTGTTTAATATTTGGTATCAAAATGAAACTCAGAATATTAGCTTTTATTTCCATAAAAACTAATAGGTTATTTGTTAAAATTTAATTGGGAGTAAACAACGGTTGAAGAAAAAGTTTTTGGAAACTTTTGTAAATTTTTGAAATTGTAATCTAGTATTTTTCAAATGGAAAAGTCTTTGATAACGGAGAAGCTTTAAAGGGAGTTCATTCTACCCGGCATTTTGTACGATCAATTTTGGTATTTCAAACTCAGAAAGAACAGCAAAAAATGGAAAATATCTTTTAAACGTCTAGACGTGTTCTTGAATCTTTAATCGTCACAGAGTCTGCAACAGAATATATTGAAACTAACTGTTTATTATATATCTGTACATATACTATTTAACTATTTATTTATTTTGTTTGGAAATAAAGTTAAGTTCATTTTGCGAACTCACAATTTCTAAAAAGTTTTAAACTTTTAACATAGCGGTATCAGTATCTATTTACAATACGACTCTGTATGCATGTACACATAAGGTTTTGATAGTTCTGTAATTTTCACTTGTAAAAAGTATCCTATTAAAATTATTTTAGGTTGCGAAAATTTATTGGCACACAGTTTAAAACAGAAATATATTAATCTTTGTATAAATGTGTATTAAACCCTTTTAATATTAATAAAATGTTAAAAAATATTTTACTATAAGCCTATTAAGCTATACACTGCATATTTACATATACTCGTAAACAAAAAATAATTTTGATTCAATATTTTAATTGTTATGATACAATATTGTACAAGAATTTCTTGAATCAAATTTGAATATTAGGTTAAAGGAGAACCAAAATTCATTGCATATTTTTCTAAAAATTCGTGACTTTGAATTTATTTTTGAGATATTGTAAAAAAAAATGTATTTTATCAAAATCTATGTGTATTTACAAGTTAATTGCATACATATGAACACATATACTTATGTAGAATTATAATAATTGTAGAATTTTGTATAAATTTATATATATGTATACATATATATGTATATACATATTATATGGTTTTTATATAATTATTATAATAATGGTTGCTAATTGAATATTTTTATACCCACAGTATTATTATTTGTTAAATATAATAAATTTGGTCTTCCATTTGTAATACTATATAATGCGCTTCCGTATATCAATGTAATGTGGCGGCGAGTAAGAGCGAGAGCAATTGCCAATTAAATTATTATTTTATGAAGTGCAAAATTAAAATAAAGAATGTAGATATTATATAAATTATGAAATTTATGAATATTATGTCCATTCCTGAAAAAAATTGCAGTAAGCTATTCTTAAGGATACCAGAACCTATTTCATTTTTGTATAAAGTTTTCTGTTACAGTTATTATAATATACACGTGTATATGTATGTACATAGGTAATTCGCTTCAGTTTGATATAATAATAAGGGTCAGCTCTTTAAATGTTGTAAGACCAAACATGATTATATTTATATAACTATACATACGAGTATGTTCTACCAAGAATAATATCCTTTAGTTTAATGTAATAAAATAAATCTTATTTAATTTTATTTAAAATATTTATGTACATTTTATTGTAGAAGATTAATGACATATCATTTAAAGAAAAAATATTAATATTTTATTCAAACTATTTTATATAAAAATATATTTCGCTTTACTGATTAAGTATATGTATGTGTCATACACACTTAAATGTCAATGATCTTAAAATTATATTGGAAATAAATTCATATTGTATGGATGTGTTGGTACGTCTATCTATATAATAAAAAAATTTTTAAATATAATACTTTATCAGTAAAATAAGAACTCTCATTTGAAAGTATAAGTCATTTAAAAAATAAAAAAAAATATACAAAAACTTAATTAATCTTAGTATAACATATATTTGTGTTAGCGGCTAGACGCACATGCTTCCATTTAATAAACATTTGATACAGTTTTAATTTTTATTAAAAAATTGAGTACCAAAAAAGAATATAGAATCCAATAGTTATATATGTATGTGAAACGTTATCTTATTGTCATTTTAATTTAACAAAATTAAATTGTTAAAGAATTATTAAAAATTGAGTTTTTCTAAATCATTCTTAAAATTCTATTGGAAATCTCGGTTAACTGTTTTTAATTAGAAATTTGTACTAAAAATGTTGCAGTTTCAATACATTTCAAATCTTTATTATAAATGCCTTTTTTGTTGTAATATAGGTAGAAGTTATGTTGTAAAAAATTTGATATTTTTTATGATTTACTTTTGTATATGGCGTTTTGATATGATTTAAAAAACTTAAAATTAAATATACTTAAAATCTTGAAAAAATAGTTCTGTAACCTTGACTTTCTTCGTGAAATCTAAAATAATGCCTTATATTTGAAAGAAATTTTTTGACATTTCGAATTATTTGCAAATTTCGAATTATTGCAAAATTTTTCAAATCCATTTTAGATTAACATATATATTTAACTTCCATTCCAAGGTTGTAAAAAATTTCTTAAAGTACAAAATAGTTCTTAAGGTATGTTCTGTATATAAAAGAAAATACTTCGGTTCACACATACAGATGTTCGTTACGGACAACCTTTTGCATTTTATGACTTTATAAAAAATTTTTTCATTTCAATTTTTAGATAAAAAAAAATTCAAATTTTAGGTAATTTATAGATATTATTTGTATTTCCGTCTCTGTCTCATATACACACTAAGAAAATATTATAGATTATTATAGAAATGGGAAGTTATATCTTTTATGTACTGTCCCACAGTCATAATAATAGCAATCTACTGTCAGTTATAATAATAACAAGTAATAATTGAAATAATTTATAAACTTAGGATACACCGCACTTTTGTTTCTAAAAAAAATCAAATTATTTCCTCATTAAGTTGAAAATTTAAATTTTAGTATGAAGACAGTTGTGTACGTATATACATTCATAATACACTATATAAATATATTTTCCTTTTTCCTACATACACACAATATTTTTAAACTAATTATTATTGTTCTCCCCTAATTTTATGTATGATGAGAGAATTTCTGAAAATATATTTGAATTTTAAATATTAACAAGAAAACAAATTATCAATTTAAAAAAAAAAATAATTTAAATATTTGCGAATCAAAAATTTTTTTT